TCATCATTTTAATATTTTATTCGTGTGTTTTCGCATTATTCTAATTTGGATTGTTGAAAGAGTGTTCATGCAGCCATTGTTAATTAGAAATTGTTTTTGTTTTTTGATGTGTAATTGTGTTACTTTTGTTTTATTGTTTGGGAGTCCAAGAAATAGGTGAGTTTTTGATTTGATTTCATTTTTTATCTACAGTATATTAAGGTTACGGTACGTTTTATGTTAAGATTAAGCCATGATTAACTCTTTTTTTACTAAGAGGTTTTAAAAACTGGGAAGCTTAGCTCTCTATCCTGGGCAATAAATTTTTTGTCTTCTGTTTTTTTTTTTTTTTTTCAAATATGTGTTTTAGAAACTTTTGCTTCAGATAATGTTTAAATAGTCCAAGTAGTTTTTTATTTTTAATACCAAACAACATTAATGGGTTGTTTTTTAAGGCTCTGTAAAAATATAAGTCGATTTTTCGTTAATTGAAGTTAATTATTTTATGTTGATCTATCTAATATATTGGGGTTGGGTGGCCCCTTAACCGCCTATTTCAGTTCAGCTCGAAGTCGAAGATGCAACGCGAAAGCTCCGCCTTGGTGATTTTATGGGCAATCCAGATCCGGCACTAAGGTTGAACACCTCGCTGGTCTTATGATTTTTTTCTAATCGTAATTTAAGCTTTCTGCCGTTATGACTGCCTGTCACATTGGTTATTGCGCTGCCAATGGAACATTACTTAGATATCTCCAGCGGAAATTCAAGATACTCTTTAATTTCACATGTCTTGATGCATCTGCAGTTTTTCAGAAATCATTTTACTATAAAATGTCCGAAAAATTCTTTAATATTTTAAGTTATATCACTTGAGAAACTATTTTGACATTTTACCAGCTCAAGTGGGATTTGTGAATCGACTTTTCTAAGACTATTTGTTTGGTTTTTTGCTTTAAGTCGGGCTTTTTGGGTAGGAGGGCATCTCAGTATTACTGCTTTTTTTGAACAGCGTCCCAAATCTTTTTCTCGTGTTCCGGTTTTTCTACGTGCTCTTCTTGTTCTATATTCTTTTTTTCATTCTTTTTAATTGGTTTTTGCAAGATTCTCCTTGAAACTTATAAGCGGAAAATTCACGCTTTTCAGCTTTTCAGCGACCTATTACGTTCATTTAAATTGTGAACCACGATGGTCTTTTTTTATAACTAATCATAATCTAACAAATTTATTTAGCGCAGGTTTGATTGGTCCTTTCTTGGAATGCAGTCTACGTTCGTTTAGTTTATGCTGCATCTGAAGACCCTGTTAGACTGCCACCCATTTTAACTAATATGTTTTTAGCTGCTGGAAATTGCAATTAATAATATAATTTTAGGAGCAGCTGTTATTTAAGTGACAGTGTTTTGTAAATGTTGTCTTACTTTGCTTTTTTAAGAAGTCCTTCGCCTGAACCAATTTATGATGCTAGCGGGAAACGTTTGAATACACGAGAGATCCGTAAACGTCAAGAACTGGAACAACTGAGACATGAAAAAATTCAGGCGTTATTGAAGTTGAATCCAAATTTCAAGCCTCCAGCAGATTACAGGTTTGGTCTTTATTTACATTTTGGTTGTTCCGGTAAGAAATTATTTCTTTAAGGCATTTTTTTTAATTTTGATTTTTTTGAGTCTTCGCGTTTTTTTTAAGGCCTCCCATGATTCGGTTGCATGAGAAGGTTTGGATACCGCAAGAGAACCATCCTGAGATAAATTTTGTTGGGTTACTTATCGGCCCACGAGGCAACACATTAAAGGCCTTGGAAGCAGAGGTAAGCGTGATTGCGCGGTATCGGGATTCTTTGGATGGCTTTCTGTATTTTTAAAAAATTGATTTGAAGACGTTGTTAATTTATGATTAACATTTTCAGACTGGTGCTAAAATCATAATCCGTGGAAAGGGGTCTGTCAAGGAAGGAAAGTTGGGTAGACGTGAGGGTCCAATGCCTGGAGAGAACGAACCGCTTCATGCTTATGTTACCGGAACAGATTCAGCTGTAATAAAGAAAGCTTGTGAGAAAGTAAAGTTTAATGATTTCTTAAATTATTGTATTTGAGGTCTGTGACTTTTTCTCGTTTTACACTTGAAGGTTTTACATCTTTTTGCAATTTCTGAATTGTTTCGCCATTTTTCTAAAGCGCTTATTTGTTGCAGATTAATTCAATAATTAATGAAGCATTAATGATTCCTGATGGTCAAAACGAACTTCGGAAACTGCAGCTTAGAGAGCTTGCATTGCTTAATGGTACTTTACGACCGGAAGATCTTGCTAGCGGTGCCAGATGTAGTAACTGCGGTTCAGATGAGCATAAGACGTAATTACTCTTCTGTCCTTACGTTTTCCTGCTTTCATTCGTGACATTTTCATTATTCTAGGTGGGAGTGTCCCGATGCTCCAAACGTTACGAAAACTATAGTTTGTACGGCTTGTGGCGGGGCTGGACATATCGCAAAAGACTGCAAAAACCCTCGACCTGGTGGATCATTTACTGCGGATGGTGGTATGGACGATGAAGTAAGTCGTGAATGTCATGATTGGTTCTTTCACATTTAGTATCACTTTTTGATTGAGGGCTACCTTATAAAATAATTGGTTTTTTTTTTTCATTTGTGGTTTGTGATTCACTTCTTTCTTTTCATTCCTTTTTGGATTCTTAATGGCCTTCTCAGTTTTAGATAAGTTTTGTGCGGATACTTTGATTTAGAAATGCTGTTGATTTACCGGTTATGCTTATGAAAGAAACAAATTTTTTTACTGCTCTATAGGTCCTGTTATTTTTAGTACTCTGCTTTAATGGCAGAACTTGGCGAGAGACCTTCTACAGCTTCGCTAGGTGATAAAGCAAGCCCTGCTAATGGTGTTGCAGGCACGCCTGGAAACAAAGTAATCTTTCTCTAATGAGGCTAGTTAATGTTCTTCATTCCACTCATTAGCTACTTTGTTTGTCTTTTTCTTTTTAGCAGAAGTCTTACACCTTGCCAACCGGTACCCCAATTCTTCGAGTCAACTTAACAAAGCCTCAGAATCAGGGTTTTGGTAATCACACCTTTCCTTCATTATGCTTTTTGTTTAAGAAAGGTTTATTGCTATACAGCAACTCTGTAGCTAACTGAAAACAAAATGTTTTTAGGCGGTGCAATGAGTCCCGGTTTTGGAATGGTGAAAGGTGGTGTGCCCCCGCCTGGTGGTGTTCCTGGAGCGGATGGAATAAGCTTTTTTAACCAGCCCTCAGCAAGTTCAGTTAGGTCGAGAATGCCGTATTCAACTGCTCCAACTCCTTGGGGAGCCATGCCGTCACGTGCAGGATGGGGCGGTGTTCCTCCTCCTCGATATCCTATGCCAGTTCCGCCTCCTCCTCCACCTGTCTCATTGGGTTTCATGCCACCACCTCCTCCGCCTCCTGCACCTGTTCCAAAAATGGATCTTTCAAGTTTGCTTGCTCCTCCAGCTCCTCCTCCCCCACCTCCGGCATGACCTTTAGCTGCGACTTCGAAAATTGCTTAAGTTTTTGTTCTGCATGTGTTGACTATCTGAGATCTTTTTTACTTCCACTCTTATACAAGTTATTTTCATTTTTTTGAACGTACTTACAGCTCTTTATTAACGTTGTTTGAACAGCGAGGTGGAAAGAATCACCTGCGACACACAATTCCATTAAGTATAAAGGTTACTAATGAATCGAATCTTATGGGCTCAGGAATTGCGTTAATAGTGGATTAGAGTTGTTTAAGTTGTTTATTGGAATGGGAACTGTTTGATGAGAGTGGTAAAAATTAATTTTGCTCATTGTTTTTAGCATCTTTTTTATTCTTTGTTAAATTTTTCAGGAGGTGGATCTTTCCTTCTGTGTTTGATATTTTCCCCGTATAATTTAAGAAGTGGAAGTGGAAGAAATTTTTTTTGAAATGGTTTTTTATTTTATTATATTATATTTTATTTTATTTTTATTTTTTTTGCATAAATTGCTGGTGGGTTCGAAATTGCTTGACTTTGTTGTTACTTGTTGTTGTGAATGTTTTTTTTGTTCCTTTTTTAATCCGCTGTAATTCTCCAATCGATCATACCAGACACATTATGCTTCTCCAGATTTAGTATAAAATGGAGGAGCTTAATTAAATCTTCATTCACTTGAACCTTTATCATAGCTTGATACATGTTCTACTTTAGTAGCAGGGGTAGTAGGTTAGGAAAGAATTTGCAGTCTTGCTATTTACTACTGAGACTTTAGGTGTGAAAAACGGGGTATGATCCTAGTGAAGTGGCCCTTACAGAATGTAATAGATTTGAGTATAAGTGAAGGAGTTTGTTTGGTTTTTTATTCATTAGCTGCTTTAACGTTTTTCAGTGGCATTAGCTTTTGTTCTAGCAGACAGTACACGGCTGAATGGGTCAGGTCTAGAACAACGTATATTTGTGTCACTGATGTTGTGTGGAAGTATGTTAGCTGTTGTTTCCTATGCTTATGTGCGCGTCTCATGGAATGTATTGTATAATTTGAAGCTTCCGACTTGGTGGAGGTCTGCTTCGTTCATATTTTCAGCCGTTGTAAAAACTAGAGGCAGGAAACCTTGGGCGTTGCATATTATCGATGTTGAAGGGTTTAAATATATACGTTATTTAAACTTTTTGAGGAGGCTCAAATTGCTGCTCTTTTATGAAGTTATAGTATCTTTAACTTTTTTCCAACCATTTCTTCTTCTTTAATGACAAAGTTGATCATTAAATTTTGGGAAGGCGCGAAGTCAGAAGTAGATATTGGGAACGAGCCACTGGAATGAGTAAAGGGGATCTGTTTTTTTGTTTTAAAAGAATTTTGTTATGTCGTTCTAGTTAACTGGTTTAGAAGGATGGTAAAGTTAAATACTGAAGACAGTTGCTTTCTGTCCTAATTGCTTCTTTTGCCAAAGGTTATGGGTGACCATGCCATGGTATTCCATTTTGCTGTTAATTCAAGTGATTGAACACCGAAATCTTATGGCGTGACATAATGGCTTTTAATGTTGAGTAAACTGATGTTTGGTTGTCAAACTTGAAATATTTGAAACTAAATTGAATAAAAGTCGTAGCGACAGTTTCGTTCCGTGTAAACTGGGAAACCCAAGAGCTGGTATTTGGCATACTGCCGACGGGGAGTTTAAGTGAGTCTTGAGTTTGTAGGTTTTAAGAGCTCTGTAGTTTTTAATGACAGGTTCGAAGTATGACTCCAGCAATGTAAGAACTGCATTCAGAGTTTAAATGAATTTTGTTTGCGTGTGCACAAAAAGAGGTGGCAGGGGACGGAGATAGACTATCCTTCGGTTTACAACAGTTAGTATAGGTATGAGTTAAGCGGGCACAAACTTGCTTCATTTTTGTGGAGTTGCTGAGGATTGGCTGGGCGACAGTCTGCCAGGAAAGTTCGGTTTTGATTTAATGG